AGACCGTGTTGTCGACGCCCGACGGATTTCCGTGAATAAACATCTCGTAGACAAAGGCCCAGCGATTGATGCGCTCAATCTGCACCCGCGCCTCCTCGGGTGGCTGATCCGGGTGCGGACCCGACAGCGTCCTAAGCTGCAGGAGCAGCGCCGCCGACATGCATACCGCGATGGTAGCGCTGCTGCCCAGCCCGGCGCCAATGGGAATGGTAGATCGGAGCGTATACTGGCAACCGGGGAACGATTGGTTGCCAAGGGAGAGGAACATATACAGGAAAGAGCCGGCCGAGTTTTGGTGCACTTTGCGGAGATCGGCCGGCTTGTCGGGCGACACATCCTTGACTAACGGCTGTATCGCGGCGACCAGGTCGGGATCGAGTGACGTGACGAGATCGTAGTAGTACTTCTTCTTGGAGGGGTGCTGGAACGTTGCCCATGGAAGTTCGTCAATATTCCACGAGTGGTTGAAGTCGATGTCGGGAAACGTCAGCGTCACGGTCCTCTTGGACTTGGAAAGCGAGGTGACGAGGAGGTATGACCGCAGCGAGATGGCGGCAGCAATCGCAGCCTGGAAGTCCAACGTTAGCCATGGATGAAGAGAGGTCAAAGCTAACACACCTTGCCATGCACAACCGCATGCTCGCCAAAGACAATGACCTTGCCCGGCGCCGACACCATGAAGGCGGGCATCATGGGACTCGACTTCTTGCGGTCCAGTCGTTTCCTTGGCGTCGTCTTGCCGTTGGTCTCACCGTTGGTCGCCGTCCCGTTTGTCGTCGTTCCGTTGCTGAGCCCGTTGGTGCCGTGGCCATTGAGCGTGAGGCGGTCGTAGTCGTCGTGGTGGCCGTTGACGCCGTTGGAAATTAGTTGCGTCATTGCGTTCTTTGTTGCGTTGTGCACCCGGTACATGTCTCTATGTCGCCAGAAATTCGAAGAGGGATGGCTATCGAAAACCAGACAAAACGAACTGGCGCACGAGAGGAAGATTATGTCGCAATTGGACGAAGCGTGAAGCTGGTCGCGCAGACGGTCGGTTACCGAGCTCGGTGTTGTAGACGCAGAATCGTCCAATAGGCAAGATGAAGATGCGCAGTCGAGGTGGAGATCTCGAGGATTACACGATCAACAGGATCTGGCTTTCTGCAAGCGCAGGAGGTCGAACAACGAGCGCAACGAGTTGGGCGATAGCGTCTGGATCGAAATTTTGGCGCGGCCAGAGATGAGGCGGATCGCTAGTACGACAGCGGAGATGGGCGCGATTCGACTGCAACGTAATCAAAACGTGGGTTCGCAAACAAGCAAGTCGAAGTTGGATAGCCAGAAAGAAAAGCGACAAGAAGATGGAGCTGAGGAGGATCAGGTGTCGGGAGAAGAGAGTGGGTATCGCGGCCCCTTATTCATTGCTTGCATTGACCTGGAAGCGATGGAGAAAACGTTGGGAAAGTGGTCGATTAAAAAGTAGTTTGCTCATTGCAGCATGGGTACGAAGCCATCCAGCTCATGGTCGACAGGGGTCAATCTCCGGCTCTCGGCTTGATGCAGTTGCTTTGGCTAACATGCGGTAGAGATCTGGTTAACTGCGGTGAATCGTATGCGTCGCCTAATCCAGCCAATCATGTCAAGTCCGTCGCCTCATCGTCGCGCTGTAGACGCGCTGCTAACACCAAGACCGCGATTCCGGGACTGCTGGTTTGCCATTCCCGACAGCCTTATGAACGATAGTGACATGAGTGACCTAGAAATTATGAGGGCAGTAGCAGGTATATTCGCCATCAGCAAGGGCAGCTCGGGTTTGGTCTTCAGCGGTGGCAATGGTGAACCAGCTCGCTGTGGCAATGTTTAAATCCAGCTAGTGGCGATGCGAAGCGGATATCGGAGTTCTGATGTGGTTGGTTGCCTTAGGCGTGAGACGCGGGGAAGCCGCACTTTAGCAAGAAGGTCCGCGGGTTAGGCGGCACTTTGGGTGTGATTCTCCTTGTTCTGGAAGGCCGCTGATTGGTGACCCAATTCTTCCCGGCTCGCTGGGAAGACAGCCAAACCTGGCACTGCTCACTGGTGCCAGGGACGCGGATTGGCTTGCAGCTTGTCAGCAAGGGGGAATCAACCGCAACGCGGAGCAGCCCAATTCGTGCACGCAATAGGTCAGCAGACCGCTGCAGCTTCCTTCCCGCACCTCCTCAACGCGCAGTGCAGTCGAAACTGGCTGCCACCCCGATCCCGACCAAGCGGGGAGGGGAAATCCTGATCGATCATGAGATGACCCGCGGTGAACTAGATTCAAGGCGGTGAGCGCAGGAAGGACGATAGTTTGCGACAGGCGCGTGCGTATTCACCTCGAGGCTTGGAGCACACGCAGAACGCGGGATCGTAATTTTACGGCATGATCATGTGATATGATTCGCTAGGGCGGCCTCATTTCCATGACGGAAGATGCGGGGGTACGCTCTGGTCACCGTGTGGTGTGGCCGCGTACGCTTTCCGGAGGCTCGGCCGAGTTTCTTGGCACTTCCGGTGTCGACGCAATGACACCCCGACCCGGGACCTCAAAGCAGGTCCCGACCTGTTGCGAACAAAGCCGTAGTGGACTTGCGCCCTTCAAGGCTTGGCGAACAAAACGTCAGCGCATGTTTGCCTGGAGTGGATCAAAGGATCTCGAGGATTCGGCCTGTATTCAGGTTTGTTTAGAGACCGCTTATAAGTCCGCCTCGAGTCTCCTGTCTGTATGTTGTAGATCGCGCATGCGCTTTGAACAACACAAGCGAACAATGAATGTCACCGAATTCGCCTTTGCCCGCCTCAAGACCGGAGACATCGAGCCGGCCTTGCTCGAGGGGTTTCGAAAAGCCCTCAATGTCCAGAACGACTGGCATGCCGCCAACTATTCTCATCTCCCATGCACCATCGCCGAGCGTGCGTCTTTTGTCTTTCAACAGATAGAAGACCCAACGAGGATCCTCATTACGGCGAAATGGGAGTCGGTCGAATCGCACTGGAAGTGGATTCAGAGCGAGGAGAATCTCAGCGTCATGGCCTCGCTCGGCCCTTATATGGTGAACGAATCTGCGGACGATCTTGACCTATCCCACTGCGCAGGCGACTTCTTCGGTAGTGTTCAGGACGAGGTACCTGGAGACTCTACCACTCTTGTTAACAGCCCCGTGGTTGCCGTCGAACGTTTTTTCATCGATGCTGAGATGGAGGACGCATTTAAGCGGAAGCTTGATGCACCCCAGACGACCCCGAAAGCCGGTGTAGCATTCAAGGGAGGTTGGCGTATTGATGTTGGAACCGGACAGAAGCAGGAGTATATGCTTGTCAGCGGGTGGGAAAGCGTGGAGAAGCACATGGACTTCAACGAGGACCTCTCAAACGGTGCTAGAGATCTCGCTGCGGAATCGACCATCAAGCACTACAGACGCATGGTTTAGTAACCCACAACTCACACGGACCCGTTTGGGGGACATATAATAGTGAGCAGCCGATGAATGCGATCTTGTTTCTGGGTAACCCTGCCGAATATACGCTTTTGGCCAGCGTCCTCTAGCCCCAACTCCCAAATTCCGAGACGCCGCCTTCGATAACCTCGAGTCCCAAATTAGGACCAGCAAGGCAAATGCACGCCCACAAGGCACCTTCTCGTCATCATCCAGCCAGCGCAAACAGCGAATCCCCCTCAGAAGCCCGATCCCACCTCATGTGGACTTGGTCTGCTTGTTCTTCTTCGGCACCTCCTTAATTGAGAGACCTGTATCCCAGTGTTAGTCGCTTGCATTCCTGCCGGTCAGGGATATCGTACTCGGGGGCAAGCTCTGCTTGAGCTTCTCGGCCTTCTCCGAGTCGAGAAGGACCAGAGTGTAGAGGTGTCTCTGGCATCGGACCTTGAACTTGATCTGCTTGGTGCCCTTGTTCTTCTTGATCCGGGCGGCTGCGGGCGCAAAACTGTTAGATTTCTATGTTAATCGGCGCATTGATCCAACGTACACGAAGCGTCCTTCCGCCGGCAGATCTCGATGAACTGAGAATCAATTTGTTAGTCGAATATTCAGGTATCTGACTTGACCAGAACTTGCCTTCTTGATATCGGCAATTTCCTGAGGCATTTTGGCGGTTTTGCGACGTCGGTCCCTTGGTGTATGGGTTTTGGTGTCGACGATGAATTTTTGCAACCACAATAATTTGTGTGGGCGCGGCGTCGGCGGTCGGGCGGGAAGGTGGTCGGCCGCTAGCCCAACCCCACATTGCGGAGCTAGGCAGGCGGTGCGGCGGTCTTGGCAGGTGCCAGGTGCGCTCTGCCCAGTTGGGTGTGGCTGACGCGTGTCTGTGGCGTCATCACCAAAGAGGACAGCTTGGATCAACAGGAGCACTTAACCAGATTGCCACAAACCAAGTATTTTAACGTCTCGTTCCTAGAATTGACATTCAGAATATATCAAATCATTTCTATACAATCCTCGAGAATCTTGGAGTAAAATGCCGACCCCGCTTGACAAGGCGATGAGATCGAGGGTAAGTCGTCCGGCAATAAGCTAAGGAGCATCGCTAACATGACGTAGAGCGCCTTTCTGGGTAAGTTTACATCTGCAGCTTTGACCGGCATGCTGACCACCACAGCATTTACGGGACTTGTTACTGGCGTTGCCGTGTGGGCTATATGGGGAGGAGACATGTTTCCGGCCGAGAAAGATCCAAAAGGAGATCCAGAGACCTGGACTGAGGCGGAAATGAGAACCTGGCTGCGCCTAGTATGTTTGCTGTGGCCGCTGGGTAATTTCTGCCGCTAACAACGCAGCGCAATCTACACCCTCACCATTCCGACAACCGCGATCAACTGCTCGAGAGGATACGCGCGAATATGAGGGTTCCGCGTCGATGATGGCCTAGGTGTAGGCGGATGGGGAAGGGACTATCTGACTAGGAGGAGCACCTGAAGCAGGAGACCGCCATGCACATGACGGCGGATGTCGGGATAAAAAGTAACCGTCCAGAGGACACTGTGTGTCTGGGCAGACCAGGAATCGAACCTGGGTTTCTTCGGGGCCGTGAGAACCACAACGAAGTGTACTGACCACTATACTATCAGCCCTTGTTGTTGATGGAGAATAGATTAATTTCAGTGATGTTGTTTCGTTCAACAGAGGATCCAGTTCGTAAATCATATCCACTCGTGCGTTGAAGGCCCACATGGCGGAAGACGCTGATGCCGACGTATCTGGTTTGAAGGCTGGACAGTGAAGCACGAAATTTGCTGTTGATACGGTGATTAGGGGCCAACACGTTTTCAGTCGCTCTTTGCTGGCAAGAAGCACAAAGCCACTCCATCGTCGTCAAAGGCTGCGGGGTCACCCCGGGAGTTGTACCGGACAATTTCGGCCAATCACCACCCGCCCCCCTTGCCTTGCTAAGCCTTGTTGCCTGCAGACGCCCTGGTCGTGCAAGGACAGCTTGCTGTTCGGATCGCGTCGCGGAGCAGCATCGTTCTCCCGTTCGCCTCAGCATTCAGTTGGTTTCATGTCAGGAGCCAGCTTCAGAGACGCAGAATTGCAATGATGAAGGAATTCCTCCAGGTGCGTACCTCTATCCAATCCAGCCGTATTTTCCCAACTGACAGCATGTTTGCAGCGCCTGGCGAGGATCCTCGACCGGCCCCTCTTCCCGTGGAAGAAGCTGATCATCGGGTTCTCGGTCGCCCAGTTCGTCTTTGAAGGCTTCCTCGGTCTCCGCCAATATCGCGTCCTGCAGAAAACCAAGCCGCCCAAGGTGCTGGAGCTCGAGGTGACCCAGGAGGTCTTCGACAAGAGCCAGGCATACGGTCGAGCCAAGGCCAAGTTCCAGCTGGTCAACAATCTCTACGGTCTCGCTCAAAACATCGCTTTCTACCAATTCGACATCCTCCCCAAGCTGTGGTCATGGACGGGCAATCTGCTCCTGAAATTCGCCCCGACTCGGTTTACTGGCGAGATCTCGCATTCGATCGTCTTCATCCTCACGTTTTTGCTCATCAACCAGGCTCTCTCGCTTCCGACCAGCATCTACCATACGTTCGTTCTCGAGGAGAAGTTCGGCTTCAACAAGCAGACGCCGAAGCTTTTTGTCACGGATATCATCAAGTCTAACCTCGTTGCTGTCGTTCTTGCCCCGCCCATTCTCTCCGGATTCCTCGCCATCATCCAAAAGACTGGTAGTCAATTCTTCTACTACCTCTGGGCGTTCGCTGCTGGTCTCCAAGTTTTCATGATTACCATCTATCCCATTGCCATTCTGCCGCTGTTCAACAAGCTTTCCCCGCTGGAGGAGGGCAAGCTCAAGAACGATGTGGAGGATCTCGCCAAGAAGCTCAAGTTTCCTCTTCACGAGCTCTATGTGATTGACGGCAGCAAGCGCAGCGCCCACAGCAATGCGTATTTCTTTGGTCTCCCGTGGAAGAAGCACATTGTCATTTACGACACTCTTATTGAGAAGAGCGAGGAGCAGGAGGTTGTTGCCGTGCTTGCGCACGAGCTCGGCCACTGGAAGTTGGGTCACACCACGAAGCTCTTTGGTATCAGCCAGGTATGTATCCCATGCTATCTTTGTCTATGACACTGACATTTTTCAGGTTCATCTGTTTTACATCTTCACTCTGTTCTCGGTCTTCATCAACAACCACTCTCTGTACTCGGACTTTGGCTTCACCAACCAGCACCCGATTATTATTGGGTTCCTATTGTTTTCCGATGTGTTGGGGCCTATGGACACGGTCATCAAGCTGCTTATGAACATTCTCAGCCGACGCTTTGAGTTCCAAGCCGACGCATTTGCCCAAGGGCTGGGATACAGCTCCGAGCTTGCTCGGTCTCTGATCAAACTCCAGATTCAGAACCTGAGCACCATGGATGCAGACTGGGCTTTTGCGAGCTACCACTTCTCGCACCCGATTCTGCCGGAGAGGCTCAAGGCGCTGAACTGGCAGCCTACCGAGAAGGTTGAGGCCAAGGAAAAGGCGGATGTTGCGACAGCCACGGGAAGGGATGAGCTCTGAGCCGAGACGGTGGGGTTCTCTAGGCTCTGTGTCTGTATCCGTAGACTGAATTTATGCGATGAATCAATCAAGGGCCACTAAATTACGCCGGGGGCAATCGTTTGCATGTAGTGCTTCGATCAGATCAAATATACGTGTGTAAATTCCCATTCAGGACTTGGTTGAGCTCTCAGGGGATGGGCGACGAACCGAGCCATCCAAGTTGCCAAGGCCTGACAGGTGCTGCCAGCTGCCCGTTGAAAAGTGCTCCAAGGACCGTGCATCAACTCCAAATCGCATCCGCCCGTCTCGCGCAACGACATCGTCGCCGCGCATACAAACACCGAGCTTCCGACAGCTGCGCCCGACGCAGACAGAGCTCAATTGTTCGGTACAATGGTTCTCAGGATACCATCCGCATCCGGGCTCCTCCGGACAGCCCTCGCCCAACCCATCGCGACCGCGACCACGCAATCCATCATCGTCCCTCGCCTCGCCCAGACACAGTCCCGGTATGCTTTCCTTCCCTTCCTCTCCCCCTGCCTACCTACCTACTACCAGATATACTTACACGACGGAAACACAGAACCTTTTCCATCCTCCCGACCCTCAGACCAACAACTCGTTTCTCGTCGCCCTCGGCACCGACAATCTTTAGACCGTGCAATTCGACCTCTACCTCTTCCTCAGTATCCACAACAATCACAGAGGGAAGTGTGGCAGATGTGATCCCGAAAACGGCGATAACGACGAACCCGGCGTTTTTGGGGGGGAGTCAAATCCGGTGCGGACCGCGCCCGACCATGTCGGGGCATAGTCGGCTCATTCAGAAGAGACGGCATGGGTTTCTTAGTCGGGCGGGGACGAAGAATGGGGTTAAGCTTTTGAAGAGGAGGAGGGCGAAGGGGCGGAAGAGGTTGGCTGCTTAGGTTTTTGGGGGGTATTAGGCTGTGGGGAGGGTGGTTTGGTTTGGTGATGGGGAGGAAGGGGGTGTGGAAGAGGAGGGGATGGGGGATATGGATATGGGGGGTGTGGGATGTGTATGTTATGCATAGACGGTGTGTAGACGGTGTGTAAAATTATATTGAATGGATTAGAGGGTTATATCATTCTCTTCTCCTTTGTGAGGATTTAATCAGTGGCTGGCTGGTTGTTTGTTGGGTTGTGAGGGTGGATGGGGCGCGTTGAAAGAGACGGGAGTTGAGGGTGAGGAAGGAGGTGTGGCCTCACCATGGCTGTGTGTTTGGGATGAATTCTACGGATGCCAGCGGATCAGACTACGGGATGGTTGAGTGAGCTTTCACAAAGGCCGTAAGGGGTGGTTCGAACGACGTATCCGCCACCCTCTTCGAAACGTCCAGTCCGAGGGATGAACGCCGCCGGTTCCTGGACCGTAGTAGAGCACATGAATGCATTTCAGATGGTGTGCCGAGTGAGAAACACACACAACATCATCCACAGTCGAGGAATTACATTATACTTATTTTTTACTTGTCTATATACTGTACAGCAGAATCAAACAGGACTCTCAAGCCCCGCCTCACAAGTCAACGTGTCGGTATAACACGCCAAAAACAACCGATCACTCCCCTCACCGATCCAGACGGTATACCGCCCATCCACTTTTGGGACTACCCAATTCTGCGCCCTGACATCCCACACGCTCAGATCCTTCCTCGTCAGCCTCAGCGTGACCGTCTCCTCACCGCCGCCGGCCTCCAAGACGTCCGTCTTCTCAAAGTCGCGCAGCTGGATCACGGGCGTATCCCACTCGATCCCCGCGGGAAACTGCACGTACGCCTGCGCGACGGCTTTTCCGCGAAACTTGTCCCCGGAATTCCGTATCGTGACCGAGATCTCATACGCGACGTCCCACAGCGCGGGATTCCCGCCCTCTGCGCCGCCGGATTCCGGACCCGAAGTTTGCGTCTCGCTGTACCCCGTCGGATACGTGTACTTGTCCTTGCCGGCGGCGCCGATGGCGCGCGCGCTGTCGGCCTCGCTGGTGGGGAGCCACGAGTAGAGATAGCGCCAGATGTAGTTGAACCCCGTCGTAGGGCCGTAGGCTTCGGACGCGGGCGGGATGTCTGTCGAGTACGAGGGGACCGGGGCCTTGCCTGGTCGCGGTGGCGGGACGGGCGATAGCTCGGTGACGAGTCTTATGGAAGCGGACGAGAAGTTGAAGGTGGTGTAGCTGAGGCCGTGGCCGAAGGCGAAGCGCGGCTGGATCTTGGCCTTGTTGAGGTGGCGGTAGTCGATGTACAGACCCTCGGTGTATGTGTCTTGGATCTGGCCGAGGGCGTATCCGCGCAGGTTGGCGATGCTGTCGGGGTAGTCGCTGGCGGATTTGGTGATGGAGTAGGGCAGGTGGCCGCTCGGGGAGACGTCGCCGAAGAGGATCCCCGCGAGGGACTCGCCGGCTTCTTGGCCGGGGAGGTGGGCGAACAGCACGGCCTTGACCGAGGGGAGGTCGATCCACGATTCCAGTATCAAGGGCCCTACGGTGTGGACGACTACGACGACGTTCTTGTACTTGGCCGCCGCCCGCTTGACCAGCTCGTCCCCGTTGTGCCAGGCGGCTAGCTTACTGCTGTCTCTGTCGCCGTGGTTGCCCTCGACGGTGAACGTGTTCTCGCCCGAGTCGGAGCTGATGAAGACCATGGCGATCTCGTCATCCGAAGGGGTGGCTAGGTTGTTTGGGAAGCTGTCGGTATTGTAGAAAGTGACATTGGCGTTGCGCTTCCTGATTGCCGTGATCGGGTCGTCGAAGTAGGGGTAGTCGGCCACGCCAGAGCCCCAGCCTATGCCTAGCGTTCCCTTATTGCAAGCCCGGTTCCCGCACGCGTTGGCTCCATCGGGGTTGACGGCGGCATCGGTGCCAAACACGGTGATATGGCTCGAGGGCGCGACAGGAAGCAGGCTCTCCTGATTCTTGAGGAGCGTGATGGCATCCTGTGCAACCTGACGAGCCACTAAATAGTGGTCCGCCTGGACATCGACGAACCAGTTGACCTGGCCAATGGGCGATAATACGGCCGCCGGGTACAGCAGGCCATTCTTGTCCTTGGTGTTGGCCGAAAAGTTGG